ACTATATATAAGGTGCTGGGCCGCAAAATCACCATCATAGGGAATGGATCTCTATGAAAACCCTAGACAAGATTCAAGAAAGGAAGAACAAGAAGATAGCAATTAACAACAACTGGTGGGCGGCCTATGCTCCTCCACGAGGGGTAACAGGCGTTAGTATATATAAATATATATAGTAGTTTTTATAAGACATATTTATAAATCTGTACTTGCGATACTAAAAATCGAATTTACAAATTTATTCTACATTTAGTTTCGATGTTTATACGTATGTATTTGCACCGTAGATGTTAAATGCCTGAAAATCTTTCTTAATTACTTGAAGCTTTGAGATCGACAATAGTGCTGAGAAGAAATAGGAGTGTAAGTGTTTATGGAGAACGGATATATCTCCTACATTTAGCAGTAGCTGTAATAATTATTATTTCTGAAGTGTATGATATTTTTTTTATAAACCAAGATACGAATAAAGCTGTTATTATAGGGTGATACGGAAGTTTAAAGCTTCATATTACAGAATGAATTTGTCGAAGCAATCTTTGAAAACCAGAAAAAAGCTGTTCAATGCTTCCCGATCTTCAATAAATGTCTTACTAAAGTTACTTCGAATAAAGTTATTCATAAGTTTATCAATAATTCAAAATAGGATATAACTCCAACATCTAAACGTATACAAGTTATTTATGCTTCCATTTATGATGTTAAATGTTTGAAATGATCGGTAGGATTTATCTTGATTAACATTTATCGGCTGGATTTGTTTTCTTTGGTGAAGGAATCCATACCAATTGTGGTATTAATACATACGTAGTTTAGTGCCATAGTTTGAGTTAAGATGTTGTTTGAGCTTCTTATACACAATAGTCACTTGTTAGTAATCATCGTCATCTTATCTGCTACTGTGTTTATTCTTGTTAATATAATAGGTAGTATGGATAAGGAAACGCATTCCTTATTTTGACCTTGAAACATTCTTTTCTCAACACTGTGCTGCTGAGAAATATATACATTAAGAACCTACATATGCTGCATCAATGAAGATCACAGTTACTAAAAATCTGTAAAGTAGAAGTAATAATCCCACTTTGGAGACAGAAGATTAAAACTTTGAATTAAATTTATATCTAAACCAATGACAAATAATTACACTACAAAATTTGTAAAAAGATTTAGTAAAAATGCAATGTATGGAAAGTTTAGATAAGCTCTATTGTCATCCCGTACTGTAAAGAAGCACTGAAGGAGGTTTATTTTATCACCAGTCTAGATTATCGAAATTTAAAGACATAATTCGAAAAGAGAAATAACTAATTTATGTCTCCGTATTCTACTATATTAGCCGAAATGCTGTAAATGCGGGAGAAACATTTTGAGAGCTAAGTACGAAAGTAGAGGAAATATAAACTATGTTTAAAGTATGTCCCTAAATCCTTAGAAGATCTCAGGAAGCTTGTAAGTAAATCAACGATAATGCTACATTGAATAAATTTAGCTTCGTGTGTACTTTTCACTAATTAAGTTATTTAAGACCCTATAATTAAAATCGTTTTAGAAAGGTAGGAGATTACTTTATGTATCGATGAAATGCTGAAGAGTCAAATTAATTAATTTCCTTTTAGACAAAAACAAACTATTTAGATACAATTCGAGGTTTTAGATGTCATACAGAAGAGAAGTTTCTCAATTTGAAAAATGGTCCCACATAAAATGTCCGTATATTGTGTTAAAATAATATCGATGAACAAGTTAGTTCTTCCTCTTAATAGGTGTGGAAGATCTAGTTCGAATAGTTTTGGAAAGATTTGTGATATGACTTATTATCATTATTTCCTACAAAAAAAGCATCGTTATGAATGAAATAAATGAAGTCTGTATTTGAAGCGAACACTTGAAACATTCAATTCAGCTGGTTTTAATTATCCATTATTTTCACAATAATATGATAAAACTATTTAATATGACAAATCCTAAAATGCTAATGAAATGATAACAGTTCTAAACGTACACATGTATCTGCTATGTATCTGCTGTTTATCTGCCATATATCTGCTATATATCTGCTATATATCTGCTATGTATCTGCTATATATCTGCTATGTATCTACTATAGTTATAATGTAATAGTTGTTAGTTGGTTTTATAATTTTACATTTTATTTACTTCCTGTTTTATATTTCATGATGAAATTAATTGTTTTTCATATTAGTTTCAATTGTCATCTCTGTTTACATTCTTATTTGTCAATTATTTATATTATTTATATTCTACTCATAAAGATAACTAAACAAAAATGGATTGTATGACGGTGATTTTATTGAGTAATTATAAATGTAAAAATTATAAACCTTTGTTAAATAGTTGAAATCATGAGCCAATTGAAGCTAGACCACCAAGGGATACTTGAAAGTACTGGGTGGTCGTTTCGCCCTATTTTGGGACTCCTCAGCAGTGCGCATCCACGACCCCGCACCCCGCGAGATTCGAACCCAGGACCTATAAGTCTCGCGACAGGCGCTTAGCCAACTAGACCACTAAGCTGGCATCCAACGGCGGGATCGTGGATACGCATTGATGAGAAGTCCCATGCTAGGACGAAACGACCGTCCAGTGCTTCGAGGTTTTCCATGGTGGTCTAGCTTCAATTGACTCACGATTTCAACCAGTGGAATAATCTTTTAATAAAGCTTATGGAAGGTAATTTTCTTCATTTATTTTTGGAATTAAATAGTATATGTCAGTTCTTCTGTTTCAATCCACCAATTCACGGATAAATTAACATTGCCATCAATTCTCAGGTCACTTGATCATCAATAGGTCACATTTCCCAGGAAAAAGATTTGGTAAACCAATATACTGTTAACTATTAAGTAACATCTTTGTCTTCGTGGAAGGTCACTATGGAGCTATTTATATCTTATCCTTGAGATAGTTTCATTTCGTCCTTTTATTTTTATGGAAATTACTCTTAAGCTCTCCATTGTCTCAACCTTGTCTTCAATATATCGTACACCACTATTAATTAATAGATTGATTGGGTGACATGTTTTCGTTTACAAACAACAAGTGTCTCATCTGATGTCACAAAACTACTTTAGAAACTTTAGATGCATTAATATTTTTATCTCTCTAATATGCCCCATGTCTGACAGCATATTTCTTTAGTCTCCATTTATACTTCAAACACACTTGAAGGTCATCAGAATTTTCCATCTTAGACAGTTTCGTTCTTTTCATTCAACTTATGATCAAATGTCAGCAATGTTGAGATAACTTTTGCATACAACTTTCTCAACGTTATATTTTACAAAACTGAGTTCATCTGAATTCACACTAACAGTGAGTTGGAGATTGGAAAGAAATAGCTACCCAATTATCAAATATCAACACAGATGATCGATGGTAGACCTAGTATTATATCATCCTTTCAGTCTTCATAGCTATCATTGAAACGTATTGATTTCAGAAAGACACAAATAAGAATACATTACTCTAATACATTACTAATATTTTCTTGACTATCTGCTTAATTTCTAATCTACTTATAATAATAATAATAATAATTTATATTCTGAAAATAATAATTACAGAATTCACGCCAGTTTACAGGCATAATCAATTTGATATAAATAATAACGTTAGACGTGCAGAACAAACATGTGATAGAAGAAAGTTTTAAGTATACTAGTTCAGTAGTTGTTTAAGTAGTATATATATTACAGCGATCCTATGCATCATCCGGGAATTTTTAATATTTCCTAAATGGACAGCCTGTTGATTTATGAACGGTGTAATTAAGGTCAATTCGTGTGCCAGATCGAAATAATGATAATTATCTACAACTAGAGAAATTAAAACGAAAACAGAGAGCACGGAACAACAAGAAAGTAATTACCAAAATATATCAATCCGGTCTACCTAAATGCGTGTGTCATGTGACACAGTGATATACTGGTTATGTTATTCAAATTAGTTAAACTTGCTAGGGACGGTGTTAACATATTGACAGCAAGTGGGTGGTTTTACCTAGGGAATGCACTAATAAAAATGACTAAGCATTTAAAGATCCTATAATACTGCTTGTGGAATGAGATACACTTACAGGTGCATTTTCAGAGGAGCAGTATGCATCGATGCAGCGAACAAATAATGTGAGTGATTTTATCGTACGGATAGATTGTGGTAGGTTATTCCAGAGTCTAGAAAATTTACAGGTGAAGTAATTCATATAAAGAGATGATTCAGAATGAGTTTGTTTCACTAGTGCCAAGGAATTACGGATGTCATAATGAGAAGTTTCTGCATATTGATGTGGGGATTAGTTCGGAACCAATCTATTTATTTACATGATTTAAGTAATACAATCAAATTAATTCATTGCAACTATTTCACTGGTTGTGTACCTCCCCTTTTTTTATTACAAATAACCATTTCTGTAACACTGAGCAGGGAAACAAAATGAAACAACATTTTCAAGAAATTTGTTATTATCACAGTCTTGTTATTTTATACTTGTGTAGGTACATCAGTTGGTAGAACAGTACACATGACTATATTTTATCGTAATGATACCAGTTTGATTTAAACAGATCAAAATAGTGAAGTATGTGTACGAACATAACCCCACATGACTTTAGAAAAAAAACAGACTGCCTTCTTCTTCTTCTTCTTTTTCTTCTCTTCTATCGTCTGTCATGAAAACGTTTTTGAAAAAAATCTAAGATAAACCAATCGATTTAAGGCGAAGGGAAGTTTTAAGTAATCAAAAGACAATTGGTGTTTTATTTCCGATCTATGTGTATATAATTTTCATTTCTGATTTAAATATTAATTCTACTGTTACTGTTATTATTAGTGTTGTTATTTTTCATAGAAAATTCTTTAAAAAATAATAATCAAACCGGGTGGCTTAGACAATATGACATGGTGCGAATTACCGTCATTGAATGAGTGATTGACTGACTGACTGATTGATCAACTGAATGATTAGTTGTTAGATCATTGGATAATTGACTAACTGATTTGGTTGGTTGATTGGTTAACTAACTTGTTAACCGGTTGACCAAATAAATGTGTTGTCTAAATAACTGAATATTTCGGGATTAAATTACTACATCTTCAGTGATCTTTGACATTTTTTTAAAAGAAAAATAATTCAAATAGCCAAATCAACAATCAACTTTAATAACAAAAATGGTCATGTATTCGATGACAATATATCGGTCAGTGTCATGATGTATGAGAAAAGATGAAAAATAAAAAGCCCTTAATATCAATACACACACGTGTATACACACATATACACATACAAAAACACACACACACGTACGCCACTTCTTCCAAATAATCACCAATCTACGAATGATAACCAGATAATTTCATCTATTCCAATAGTGTATCAATAAAAATCTACAATAAATATGTTTATATGACGAATTTATTTCTATTTTTCATTTTACACCAAAAAAAAGAAAAGTAAATTAATGAAACTGATCTTTGATCTTTGATTACAATAATCATTTGTTTATTTTCATCTCGATTATGAATAAAATCCCCCTGTCTTCCTGCCCCCCCCCCCAAAAAAAATGAAGAATCCTATTACACAATTATACAAGTGACTATCATCCTAATTATTCCATTGATATAAACTTATCAGGTATATATCTATATATATCTATATATGAATATACAGATAATTAACCGATCTATTCATTGTTATTCCCTATTTATATTGATTTAATCATTTCTATGATAATTCTATAATTTGTCATTAATAATCTAATGACAAAATCACTATTGACAATCATTATTCATTTCATTATTATTTATAGTTTAATTATACAATTGATGAAATCATTACCAAAAGTCTATTCTATAAAAGGTTGTGTTACATTTGTTTATAATGATAATTATTCAATGCGTCAATCTATATGTGATAAATTAAATACAAATTTTCATAGAATTCCAATTAATTTACCTATTGAAATAGTGAAATTAATTATTAATCATCAAAATATTAATCAATTAAATGAGACACAATTAAATCATTTGCCAAATTTAATTGATTTAAATTTAGATTCGAATAAAATTAAAATTATTCAACCAAATACATTTAAACAATTAATTCAATTAAAAAGATTAAGTTTACGTTATAATTTATTAACTATTTCCTATGAATCATTTCATCCAATGATTATGTATCATTTAAATCAATTACAATCTATTAATTTATTGCATAATCCATTACAACAAATACCAAATCATTTCTTTTTACCAATTGGTCATACTATACAATCTATTATATTATCAAATAGTTTAATGAAATTACAATTATATAATGAAAGTTTTTATGGTTTATATAAATTAAAATTATTAGATTTAAGTAATACATATTTAGAGAATTTACCTGATTCCTATGAAACAATATTTAATCAAATGCAATTAAATGAATTATATTTATATGGGAATCCATGGAAATGTGATTGTCATTTAAGATGGTTAATAAAATGGTATTTAAAATATAATACAAAATTAATATATTATAAATCAATCAATGATATTATATTATATAATAATAATCATATTGATTTAGATACAAATAATTGGTTAATGAATGAACATAAATTAAATAATCAATTATTAGAAATGAATACATTATTACAACCAAAATGTGCAACACCAATGAAATTACATGGGAAACCATTATTTAATCCAATCAATAATAATAATAATAATAATGGTAAACAAATGATACGTAGTGTAGATTTTCATTGTTCACCAGAATCATATACACCAAATCAAGAAATTCAATTTATATGGGGTAATAATGATACATTAAGTTGTAAATTTTTTGCTGATCCATCCGGTATTGTAATATGGTATAAAGATGGAACTAGAATACAAAATCATTGGCCAAGAATAACAACTAAACAAAGTCAAGGGAGAAATTTTTTAGCTGAATTAATTATTGAAAATATACAAAATTCTGATGCAGGAACATATGTTTGTTATTTGGATACAGGTTATGGACATGTAAATACAACATTCAATGTACAAGTGGATGGTGGTATAACTATAGACGAACCATTTTATCATAATGGTATATTTCATTGGATTAGTAAATTGGATACAACTCTTGTGCTCAAGTACACTGGAATGATTGCTGTATGTTTAATCATACTATTAGTAATTATGGGCTTACTAATTTATTTATTCAATGGAAAGATGTATTGTCGACCAAAATTATGCATTAATAAAACAATGCCAACTTATGATAATAGATCAGATCAATCTAAACCAGGATTAGCTGGTGAATCAGATACAATAAACACTGGTAATTTTAGTACTTTGAGTGATAAAAATACTATTAGTAATTCAAAAAGTACATATACGCTCCAAGGACAAAATCTTAATCTTTGTACACAATTGGGACCTAAGAATGAGAATATAGCAATGACGTGTAAACGTTCTCCAACATCTGAATTAAATGATCATGTCTACTTGCATTGCACTAGTTCCGACGTCTTAGATCAACACAGTCTATTATCTAATAAATCACGTGATCCAACATTTGATAATTATGTAACAGTTCGTCTATTACCAACGGTGACAGGTAGTGACCTTACTGTTCCTTGCCCTATACATAACTATGCATTTATACATCAAGTTTCTACAGATCCAACGACAGTATCTACTGCAAATAATGTAGATATTAATTATGATGGTGTTGTTACTGGATCTATGCAAGTAATTCCAGAATCTCATATTTCTTCATCAAACATAAAAAAATATAATGCAATGGAAAATTCAAATTTAACTACTTCTGTAAGTAATATGAAAATATCGAGTACTTCTGAGGAAAATGTCGCAATAAAAACTAATAAAGCTATAATTACTGATTCAGGTAATATAAACAATAAAATTGTCAGTAATAATGATAATAACTGTTTGAATTCATCGGTTTACACACCTTGTCCGTTACATGGTAATATATATGCAACTCTTCAGAGTAAAGATAAAAAAAATATTTCCGCAGAAATACGTAAACACATCGCCAATGTACCACCAGGTTTGACAGGATTAAATTATGACAAACATCATACACTACCAAATAAAAAGTTTCATTCACAGTTATCTACTCCTACTACCACTGTTATTAGTACATCTCCTAATAGTACTAGTGATATTCTTAGGACCAATACTACACTAAGCGATAAATGATATTCTCTTAACAGTATTGTACAACATTTAGTCATCTGATTGAGTAAATGAACAATTATCATTATTTTATGATAATAATGTAAAATGACTGTGATGCAGAATACACATATGCTTACATATGAATAGAATCATATACACGTTTATCAATATATATTAGTACAAAGACATTGATGAAAAGCGAATAGTAACTTATTCCTATTTATTTAAATGTACAAATGGAATATACTAATCACTATACAAATGAGAAGAATAAAAATCTGGAATAAATTATAATGATAATGTAAGCCTTTTTTTAAGTGTAAATAATTGCCGTTACTTTCGAAAAATTTCAGTGATGTTTTTCTATAAAAAAAGAAGTTTAATCCCCTTTTAAAAATTTCTGAAAACTTAGGATATTCTACACTGAATTAAATAGATATAAAGAATTTGTATTTTAGCTTACTTCCAATGTATGCAAATTAACGTTGAGATATATTTTTAATAGTTTTAATTATAAAATGATTGTATCTAGGCCACTAGTAAAAATTAGGAAGCACTAGGCAGAGGTTTTTATCATACTATAGGATTCTTAAACATTGAACATTCACGAATCGAATCAATAATCTTTGATCTTGCTCATGAATACTTAACTTTGAGATCACCCAGCCATTAACTTGTGATGTATACATATAAAACTAATTGAATTGTTATATCATTGAAAAATTCGTTGATTATAATTTTGATATAGCGTCTTAACAATTACACATAAAAATATTGTGGTCACTTCATTAGTCCACATTATATATTTCAGATAATCAAGCTAGAATGCATTAGTCTACATTTTTTCAATTTTAATCACTGTCCTAAAATAATAAAAAATAGTATCAGAAGGGGTTTTGTGGAGACTGTAGTAAATTAAACAGTTGAGATCATGAGTCAATTGAAGCTAGACCACTATGGAAAACCTGGAAGCAACAGGACGAAATGGCTATCCAGCGTTTCCAGGTTTTCCATAGTGGTCTACCTTCAGTTGACTCATGATCTCAACTGTTTAATACAAAAAATGTTTTAAAGTAAACTATCAACTTATTTCTGATCATTTTTTCTTTACTCCATAATTCACGATTTCCTTATCATGAAAGTTGGCAAAACGATCTAATTACGGTTATTGACCATGTAATTTAAACTAAAAGAATATACTACAATTAGGAATCATGATAAAATGTTCACTGTGAAAAATGGTTTCAAAATAGTATAGAAATGATGTATAGAAAAAACAAACAAACAAATACACAGCACTTCCTTATGTTGAATCCATGTGCAACTGATGTAAAAATATGATGAAGCTGATTTCAAATGAACTAATCTCCAAGGAATTCTATATCCTGATAATCAGAATCAAAATATAACACCTTTATAAGTTAAATATCTTTTTATGTAAATGTAAAAATTCCATATATAGAAGTTTATCTAGAACTGTATAACATAAGTTAACTGAAAACATACAAATTATTATAGAAAAGTGAAAAGAATATACATTGAAATATCTATTTAACGATTAAAAATAATTTTCCGGTGTAATGCTTCTTTTATGTAAATCAATAAAGTTGACATAAAAGAAATATATTAGGCATAGTAACATGTATGTGAAAATAAGGATTGATAAAAGTTATATAGAGATATTTTAATGATTTCAGATAAAATCTTTAATGTAAAGAAAAAGAGGAAAATCACATGGATTATTCTTTTTCTTCTTTTAATGGTTCCATTTATGTTACATTTGGTAGATGATAATCATGATTACGTAATACATTAATGAGAAGTAGTTAACTTGATTTAAATTTAGAGGAGAAAACTAGTTACTATGTTTATTTAAAAAAAAACAAAAAAAAAACGAGATAACTATTACAAAATTATGTTAGAAAAAACAGGTGATCTTTTTAGTAAGAATGAAGTGTATCTGAATGTTTAATAATCTTATATAAATGATTTAAATCAAACTGTATTTTTAATTGATTTTCAATACTGAATAAAGTGTACTGTAACATTGATTATTGTTACAAAGAGGCACCGAATACATATGTGCCACACAAATCTCATTTGATATGTGTGAGGGCTGTGATACTGATCGGGTGCCCAAACCGAAGCAGGTGGTTTGCTTAGGCGGCCACACTCAGAGACTTCGACCTGATGATCTGATTCACAAGGCAGTGGAGCAACATCAGGAGATGCAGTCTTATGGTAGTCAGTGACTAACGATTGGTTCATACGCCATTTGTTGCTTCAGGATACTTGAGCCCATGTGCACCATCTGTTTGGAATCAGGGATTTCCAACTCCCATAGGTGGACTCTCCGTGTCCATCAACCCAGTTAAAGCGCCAGACATTCACTTTTCATCCCCTAAATTTCGTAAACAGCAGTAATGCCATGAGGCGGCAGTGAGTAGGACTTCCTTGGCAGAGGCTATATATGCGTGGCCATGTGAGAGCATTTCGAGAGGGTGAGCGGACTTTCCCACTCTCGGCCATACCAGGGCATTTGGGGGCACTGTAACATTGATAAACCATATAAAACGATATCATGTGTAACTTGAGAAACTTTTGATTTGATCAGAAATAAATTTTTATCAGCTTATAAATCTAACCAATAAAAACAATTGCTGAATAGTAATGAAACTTAGATAAAGAACTTTTAGGTATCTAGGGTAAGACTTAATGTTTGGAATATTTAGCCTGAAACTGGTAGTTTACATGCCTTAGTAGTTTAAAGGTTAAGCGTTCACTCAGAGTGAAAATTCCAGGGTTCGATTTATGGTGAGCCGTGTATAGTCACTCCTGAAGATTCTCATATTAGGATGGAACAAATGATTCACTCTTTCTGGCTTTTAACGTTTTTTTATTAAGATCAGTCCGTGATCTAAATTATAAAATTCAACTGTCTCCACTAACCTCCTACAGTCAAACTTAAATGGTTCATGCACTTGTCGAAATCCCCGACTGCTTTTTTTATAATCTTGCAGCACGGAAAGTCATATACGCAAATACAAATCCGTCTACTTTCGAATACTTAGTCAGGTCTTAAACAGGTTTATAAAACAACCCAGTCAGTCATGCATAATGCTTCTATATGGAAGCCTCAATGAATTATTTTTATGGTCGATAATTTATCGACCTTGTCCATGTATAAATTCACTTCATGTTGCTTGTTTGTATCTTCCCAGTGTTGTTTAGGACTGTAGTTGATCAGTCTCTTGTTGGCATGTGTGCATCCTGTGAGGATTGCCTCGATACTGTCTTACGTCACAAGCTTTATAAACAAAGATGGATAGTAGCTAGCGGTGGAATTCATGATGCGTGTTTCATCCCATTCAGGACTCACTAGCTGGATCTACCTGTATTCCAGAGTTGATTTTCACTTCGGAACTCGAATCCAAGTATTTCTAATTATTCGTAAGCTCCGGAAATATGTTCGAGTAAATAACTAAATGGTCGTGTAATTTCCTTTACAGTTAGATTTTTTAAAAAAATTAAGCCCATGAATCGATTGATGTTAGACCACCTTTGAAAACCTGGAAGCACTGGACAGCCGTTTCGTCCTATCATGAGACTCCTCAGTAGTGCGCATCCACGATCCCGCCCGCGGCATTCGAACCTGGAGGCCTTCAGTCTCGCGGACGCTTAACCTACTGGACCACTGAGCCGGCATCCAGTGGTGTTAATGTTGCGTGACCATCTTCCATTGTACTGTGGCTTTCAATGGTGGTCTAACATCAATTGATACATGATCTCAATCAAAAACTTAACAATCTCCACAACCCCTAAACTGAAAATCGTAGTTGTTTGTACAATTTGTACGTAAACAAATAAACATTATACATCTCCTTGCATTCATGCAATGTTTTCTAATTTGACGACGTTACCGATTATATTTCACTTAAGGTGAAGAAAAAAACGAATTATTCCGTAATACTGATAAGCTTTATAGTTAGAACTTATCAAACCGGAAATCAAGGATTGGCAATATCAATCCTGTAACCCGGTTCTATTTTCATCACATATCAAAATGTTCGTTAGTTTATATATCTCACAAGATTACTTATTTAGCAAGACTGAATGAAAACTCAGTTCTTGTAGATGTTAAACATTGAAAAGATCTAAATAACTGATCTAATAACTCAAATTAAAATGTTTACGAAAATCTAATAACAATTTGAAATCTCTAATGAATGTTGTTCATCAATACTTACTTACTAACTTACGCCTGTTAATCTCAGTGGAGTATAGGCCGCCGATCAGCATTCTCCAACCCACTCTGTACTAGGCCTTCTTTTCCAGTTCTATCCAATTTTTTTTCATTTTTTTAATATCTGTCTCTACTTCTTGGTAAAATGTGTTTTTTTTGGTTTTCCCCTTCTCTTTTGGCCTTGAGGGTTCCATGTGAGAACTTGTCTTGTGACGTGATTGGGTAATTTCCTCAATGTATATCCTGTTGTTCATCAATATTAATTTATTACTAAATGATTTTCATAAAAATCTATTCAACTGAATATATAATACTTATTTTATTAATAAATTCTTCTTTATAAAAAAATTCATCTATTCATGAACAGACTTTATAGTCATGTGTTAACAGAGTTCTCTTATTGTGTTTTTCTAATAAAAAAAAAAGATTAAACAATTTTTGTCAATAATGATTTAGTGATTATTAAAGAGAAATATCTACACTGATATAACTTGAATGTATTCAAAATGTACTACGAACCTATTGAGAGTGATTTAGATAACATTGAATTCCACTTAACATAAACAATATTCTGATTTCCGTGACCACACGAAAAAAAAACGATATCTATACTCTTGGTTGTTTAAGCATCTGTTCATTACTCTGTGAGACGTAGAAATAGAGAGAGAGAGAGAATAGTTTGAAGGAGAAATATCATGGTTTACGCAATCCAACACACACACACACACCAATAAAGATCAGTTATCCTGTTATTATTAACAACGATGAAAATGATAAT